TCGTAGCACGATTACTCGTAGTACGGGGTCTCGCTGCTCTTGGTCTGGCTGCTCCCCTTTGGCCTTCCTGGCATGGTTGCACCTTGTGGAACGAATTTCCAGCCAATGTAGCCCGCGCGATCATTGCAACACTGAAGCCCGACCACCACGTCAAGGTGGCAGCTTTAGGTCGGGGTTTACTTGTTACTTTTACTTGTTATTGTATTGTTACTTGTTACTATATTCGTGCTTCTCTGCCAGGTTACAGACTGCCCACATCTTGGTCGCTTTCACCCAACAGAGGACTGGGTGAAAAGGGTTCTGCGATACACATGGTCCTCCGGTATGCACAGTTCGTGTCCTAACCAGCGTAACCTGAAGTTTTGGTCCATCGTAGGCTAATTATCTTTCCTTAAACCTGATGTATCTCAGGTTTGTTGGCCCGGTGTTCCCGTCAAACCCGGCCAAAGTTTCTGAGACGCCAGTGGTCCAATACTGACACTTCCGCACATCCGTGTTCGTAGAGGTCATAGAGTCCATAGATGGATCGCATCGCAGCGGTGTAAACTCTGTTCTTGATGGACTTACTGACCTCACGCCTGCGCCATCGGTGTCGGAGGTCAGCAGAAGCTGCGCGGCTTTCCCAATTCGATAAGTAATCTTATATGCAACCAGTCCACCTATACTTATACAACTACCCAGGTAAACGAATTTATCTGCTCTGTGGATTGACCCTTCTGCAAGTATGTGGTTTGGGTTAGATCCCCTTTCATAAGAGTACTGTTGGTAACCCAGCAACTTCTTCGGCCGACGAAGATTCCAGGATGTTGGCTACAATAGTGGCAATGAGAACTAGACAGTTGTCTACAAGCGTGTGGGTGCTATGCATGATGAAAATGGGGAGAACGGGCAAGCTTCCGGCGAGATTGGAAAGTATATGTTGAAAGGGACTTAATAGACGAGCCTTGATTGAGGTTAGTTCGGGTAATAAGTAATCGTACTCTTATTTTCTATTGCCCGGAACAAAATAGGAAGAATATCCTCAAGATGGTCTAGTGGGAACATCGGATTAGCAATGCTAGGGGACACCAGATAGTTGGAGTAAAAACGAACTCTCCCACGGTGAACGATCTGCCTGTGCTTAGTAGCTTACGCTGATTAGGATATGCACTTAGCATGCCTGATGACCCTCTACCTCGCAAAGCTCTTTACGTCCAGTCCTCCGCTGAGTAGAAGCCACCAAGACG